ATTAAAAAATTTTTGTCTATAAATTACTTGGAAAATAAAATTTTTTGCAAGACAATATTGGCAAAAGGAAGCCTTATGTTCCTCGTTTATCCCCCTCCCCGCCCCTCAAAAAATGTATTACTTTGTGATATTAAGTAATGATGAAGTTATTGTTGAATAAGCAGGTGCATTCTGGAAATGTAAAATTACTCTGGTTCATAAGGAGTATACAAGATCTCCGAGAGCCAAGGTGGTTAATTGACCTTGATGTGATCTGTGAATCCTGGACTGGTTTCACCCTGCCTGAAAGTGAAGAAGTCTGCAATTTTATCACTGCTGCCGACTCTCCTTTCCTGCACCGAAATCCTGCAGACAAAGCAAGCCATGAGAACACCATCCAAAGGGATGCATTTCTTTCTTATTTTCCATATGTTGGAAAACAGGAACTGACATTTCATGTGATTTTAGCATGCTATGTGGAGACACAGCCAATTTCTGCTCATTGTCCAGCTCTTCCTGTCCTGCTCTGAAGGAAGTCAACGCTTGGGAGTAAGGGAAATTTAACTGATTGCTTGCTACTTCTACCTGCTTTCTGCTGTCAGTAAGGAATGTGCCGACTGCAACAAAACACAGCCCAGCCATACAAAGTCTGATACCCAAGATGGTCCTATCAAAATACAGAGGACAACAACAGATGATTTTTTCAGATAGTGAATGTAGTAGGATTTGGAGGCAACACCCCAGCTCTGCACTGAGACACTATGAGGGTTTTTTTTTCTGCCAGTAATAGCCACACTGGCCAGGGGCTCCTCCTGCAACAGGAATGAGATAGGGTACCATGCACCTGTAACATGAGTGAACTCCGCCATCTTGGCTACTCACATTCTCCTGGCCAGAGGCTCAACTGCAGAAGTAAAGGAATGTCCACACTTTCAGCCTTTTTAACATCTACTGTTGCAAGAACAGAGTGTACAGGTCTTTGTCAAAACACATCTTCACCTCCACTTTACATCCTGCATCAGTAACACTGCACTGTTCAAGTTTAATTTTAACACAGGGATGCCAACCTGAGCATTCAGTTCCTCTTAGGTAGTGTCTTCCTCAGAGCCTATACTGGGCCTGCTCCAAAAGGCTCACTTCCTCAGATGTAAATTCTAACTTAGTAGCATTTTGTTTCCTAAAGCACTATGCATCATAAATTTAAAAAACAAATACTTGTTTTCACCTGCTGGTATCTAAACTACAGCCTTGCTGTCCTCTAAATGTAGACTATGGAGATTATAGCAGGTCCCCTACACAAAGCTATGGTTGCCACTGCCATCAGCATTTCTAGGTGTGTTGGATAACGTTTGCCTGGCTGGGTGCTATGGTTTATTCTACAAGGCAACATGTCACTACAGGACAGAGTAGTAATGTAGTAGCCTAAGGAAGAAACCACAGCACCCAGGGGGGCCATGCTATCCAACATACCTGGAAGAGCTGGATAGCAGTGGTGTCCATTGTTCTTCAAGAGATGGAAGAATGGACTTACCACCTGCTGAAAAGGAAGTATTTAATATGTTCTTTTACAGGCTAGTTGTATTAGTATATCTTTCTCCTAGCAACAGGGTAACTTTAAAGTAGAATGTGGTCAAATACTTAAGCAGGCCATAGATGGTGCAATATTTTTTTCCTGAACCACAGGTTGCAGAAAACAAAATAGCTTGATTTCCCCATCAACACAGTCAGCATTGATGGGGGAATTCCTCCCGTGGAGCTATTGTGTTCTCCTAGTGAGGGAGGGGGCGTCAACTTGGGTACAACTTGGGTACAATCAGTCTGCCCATACATGGTTCAAATCTCTGCCGGTCCCTGCTGAACCAGCAGAGATTCAAACCATCTATGACCAGCTTATCTATACTTAAACCTGCTCTCACCCCCATTCTAGGCCTATACTAACTACCCTGTGAAGGAAAGATGTCTATACTTACCTATTTTGAAGGCACTCTGGTCCAGCCACATAATCAACTCCCAGCACCGGCTTCAGTGTAGAGGAGGGACAGCCAACAATGGATGCCCCATAGTAAGTCTATGGGTGACATCATTGCCCAGGCTCTGCGGCTGTTGTCAGTGATCTCTCCTATTCATTGAAGCTTGCTACTGTGGAGATCATGTGACCAGAACAGAACGCCCTCAACATAGGTAAATATAGACATCTTTCCTTTACCGGGTAGTTAGAATAGACTTAGAATGGGAGTGAGAGCAGGTTTAAGTATATTTAGTATTTGACTGGAATTGTACTTTAAGGCTTCAGGGTAATTTTATAGCTGGAGAAAAGAAATGATGGGTCACCATATTTGTGATCCATTCAGATTTACAAGTCTTTCTGCCATGGTGGCAGATGGGATTTGCTGTCTTTCCATTCACAGACCACTGTAAATGGTCAGTGCAGCTATGCAATTGGAAGGTGAGAAAAAGGCACCCCAAAGAGAAGAACCCAACAATTTAGGTAAGTAGGGGTTGTTTAAAGGTAGGGTTTTGGGGAATGTGTCAATGTTTCACTGTATACCCTAAATATGAGTGTAACATGGTCAAAAAGGTAGACTATCCTTTAAAAGAATTTCAGATGAATGTACCCTCTCTGGCAATCTATCTATCCTACCTCTCCTCCACTCTTTGGCATTTCACACTTCAGGATCTGTCAGATGTTTAGATCCAAGCCCATCCCTTCCCCCTGTTCCAGTGTTGCACGCTCTGTAGGACTCTTTGGAACTTTACACTTCCGAAAAGTGTTGGATGTTTGACTTACTGTTGTGGTTTCATCCTTCTAACCTTATGTCACTACAGGACACAACAGTGACATAGGGGTTGCAGGATGGAAGAAGAAGGGTGTGGTGGGGGACACAGACATCCAACACCCAAGCTGGACCAATGTAACTGTAGAAAATACTATACCTGGAATTCTACTTTAAGAATCTTCAGGGTGCTGCTTCTACTACACACTTCTGGGTGTGTCGGATAGCATCGTTTATCCCCACCAGCCGTTGTAGTTTCTCCCACAACAGGAAACTGAAGTGATGCAGGGGTTGCTTTAAAAATCTACCAACAAAATGTAATATTGCGTAAGAAAAAAAGCAATGAGAATGGCTGTTTTTCTCCTATGTGAATGAATTATTAGGCAAAAGAGCAAATGATCCACATTACAATTCATCCCATTATAGCTCCAAAGGTCCTCTTGTTATAGTGCACTGTGGGACCAGAGCAATTAGTGGAGCTGAGCGAATAATTAAAAATCTGCTCTGCTGGCATTTCAGCCACTCCTGCAACCCTGTTAGCAGATTTTAGATCTGAAAATTTACTTTTAATTAATTTTTTTTTTTTTAGTTAAAAAAAGTTCCCAGGTGACTGCCTACTGCCTCCCTCTGGTATAGAAATCCATTGATCTATATATCCATTAAGATATAAATTTTTTTTTTTTTTTAAATAAGTTTGATTCTGAAATTAAAAAGGACAAATGTAGGCCTCTAGCCCCTTTAGTTCATCAAAACCTCACATCTTGTCCCATGTCGGTTCTCACCTTTAGTATCTATCCTGGTCTGGAAGCAGATTTTGAAGCATTAACTTTTAAGATTAACTTTTGTCCTTGTACTGTGCTGAGTTGTAATGCACACATTCTGAAGCGCTAAAATGCATGTGTCATGGCTCGCCATAGTAAAGATGTCTGTTCCCATCTCAATGCAGCAGTGCTTTTTTCAACCTACATACAGTATGTGCTTTTTTGCGATACATGTCCATTTTTTTTTTTAGCATTTTAATGTGGTGGGAGGCCCATAGAAGTCAATGGCAGTGCATCAAATGATAAATAACAGGCCTCGGCTAACGGCTAACACTGAAAATGCACAAAAAAAGGCCAATGCAAAAGGCAAATGCATATTGATGCATTTAGAGCGTACGTCAGTGCACATGTGGGTGCTTTATGCAATCCATGGTGCATGACAGTGTACATACTTCTCTTCAAATGCATCTCAATGGATAGTTGTACATGGCAGTGGTGGGTCTCGGGAGTTTTATTATGCAGGCTCTGCACGCTGTAGCCTAATTGCTACAAATCTTATTTCAATGCCTGAATGCTTAGAAATATTGCTTTTGGAATAAGAACAAATAAAGAGGGTGACTCTCCCTAGCAGGGACACACACAGCGATAAGAACCCGACAGAGATTGGAACCCCTCATCAGTTTATCCAAAACTAAAAAATAAAATGTTTCAGCTTCAGCTATGCTTTTCAGCCTTTTGGCTGAGATCAAGTGTAGTATCTGTTCTCATCAGTTTTTGGAGACAGTACACAGATTCCCTTCACCATTTTGGGAAACTGGTTAGTAATTATTACTTTTATTATTATTATACAAGATTTATATAGCGCCAACAGTTTACTCAGCGCTTTACAGCATCAGGGCAGACAGTACAGTTACAATACAAATTAATACAGGAGGATTCAGAGGGCCCTGTACATTAGAGCTTACAATCTAAGGGGGAGGATCAATTGATACAAAAGGTAATAACTGTGGGGGATGGGCTGATGAAGAAAATACATGTACAGTTGCTAGATGGGGACAGTATAGGCCTTGCTGAAGAGATGAGTTTTTAGGGATTGTCTAAAAGTGGACAGAGTAAGAGATAGTCAGACACATTGAGGAAGGGAGTTCCAGAGGATGGGAGCAGCTGTTGAGAAGTCCTGGAGGCGAGCATGGTAGGAGGAGACAAGGGAGCTAGAAGGCAGGTCTTGGGAGGAATGAATAGAATGATTTGGTTGATATTTTGAGACCAGGTTGGTGATATAGTTGTGGATGGCTTTGTAAGTTGTTGTAAGTATTTTAAGTTTAATTTGTTGGGTGAGTGGAAGCCAGTGGAGGGATTGGCAGAGAGGGGTGGAGGACACTGAATGGAGACCAGTGGAGGGATTGGCAGAGAGGGGTGGAGGACACTGAATGGAGGCCAGTGGAGGGATTGGCAGAGAGGGGTGGCAGACACTGAATGGAGGCCAGTAGTAGGATTGGCAGAGAGGGGTGGAGGACACTGAATGGAGGCCAGTGGAGGGATTGGCACAGAGGGGTAGCAGACACTGAATGGAGGCCAGTGGAAGGATTAGCAGAGAGGGGTGGAAGATACTTAACAGTTGGTGAGGTGGAATAGCCTGGCAGCAGAATTCATAATGGACTGGAGTGAGGATAGCCTATGTAAAGGTAATCCAATAAGGATGAAGTTGCAGTAGTCGAGGCTGGAGATGACCAGGGAGTGAGGTAAAAGCTTTGTGGTGTTGTTGGTTAGGAAGGGGTGTATCTTGGAGATGTTGCAGAGGTTGAGGCAGCAAACGTTGGACAGGGATTGGATGTGGGGCCAAAAGGATTTTTCAGAGTCCAGGATTATATGTAGAACCTTGGCATGCCGGATGTAATAAAGTCTGTACAGTGGGAGGGTTCTTTTCCCCGTGGTTTGAATCTGGCCTGATTTACCAGGCTTGTCTGCAGTTGAAGGCGCTTTCTGGTAGGAATGGTACTACATTTGGCTGGCCAGGGGCCGGGCTGAGAAAATCCTGTGGTGCTTTGCCACTGGAGTGGCAGTCCAAGGGTGCCAAAAAAATTCATGGTGGGGCAACATACTACATTTTTACCATAGTACCTTCGTCACAGCACCCCTTTCATGCTTTTTTTTCAAACCTGTCTCCTGGGCTGGGCCCTTTTGGACTGGAGGAATCTTTATACTGGCTGGAAGGCCAGCCATTGTCTTGCACTTTGGTAGTCCTAAAGTACTTATTTATTTTTTGCACAGCTCTATTATGCACTTTAACTCATTCTCCAATAAGCAGGTGTAGGTCCTCAAGTTTGCCCTAAAAATCTTGAGGAGAGGGCACATGGGCTTGATCACTTAAACCCGGGAAGATTTAATCCCCTTCATGACCTGGCCATTTTTTGCTATTCGACACTGTGCCATTTTAACTGGCAAATGCACGGTCATGCAACGCTATACCTACATGAAATTTATATCCTTTTTTTTCACACAAATCTAGCTTTCTTTTGGACGTATTTGATCACCACTGGGTTTTTTATTTTTTTTATTCTATAAAAAAGAAAAAAACAAAATGTTGGAAAAAAAACAATGTTTTTTACTTTCTGCTATAAAACATATCATATAAAAAATTTTATGTATTTATATATTTAGACCAAAATGTATTCTTCTGCATGCCTTTGGTAAAAAAAAAACCCCAATAAGTGTATAATAATTGGTTTGTGTGAAATCTATAGCGTCTGCTTAGTATGTTATACAGTATGTGATCCAGTGCACAGCGGCTGTCTTTTCGCCCTATATGTACAGGGGCCGTTCCAAATGTTTATGGTCAGATTCTCCCCCTTCTATGGGGTCTCCCTTCAGGGGAGCCCCATTTAAGACTTGGGTGGACATTACTTTGACAGGTCCCCTGGAGAGCTGGGTCTGCCTGGGTTTTGGCCGGGTGGACAACGAGTACATCAGTCTTCGTAAGGAATCTTGCATCCCAAGGGAACAGAGCTAAGGTCTTTTCTGTTTGAAGGAGAACCATGTGTACACTCTGGAAAGTGCACAGTCTATCTACCTTTAGTAAATCAACCCCAAAGTGCAATTGCACACTGCAAGTGCAGTTGCTCCAAAGCTTAGTAAATGAGGAGAAGCATCTCTTTTTCAAAGAATACCCAATCAGGGGCAAGATTATTGAAAACATTAAAAAAAAAAGCATTTTTGCTTGCACATGAATGGATGGAGTCAACAGAGCTTCTGCTCCTTTACCAAGCACTGGAGCAATTGCTCTTGCAAAGCGCAACTGCACTTTGCAAAGTGCACTGTCTATTTGCCTTTAGTAAATCAACCCCTCTGTGTACTTTTTTTTTTGTTTCACTTTTTGTGTGCTCAATTTTTTATTGGACCTGGTGTTAAGTTTCTAGAGTGAGTGCTGTACTGAGGAGCTGAAGAGAATTAAAGAAAGCTATGTTTAGAAGTAAACCCAAACCCTTACACTGAACTTCCCATGTTTGCTCCCTTTTGATATGTGATGTAATATACCAATTAAATCTTTCTGTGCATCTGTTTAATAAGTGCAAACAAATACCTGTTCCTGCCAGAATTCCATGAGCTGATCATATTCTGTGCTCTCTCTTTTTCAGTGACATTGTTCTCAGTTCTCCCTGTGGACTACAGAACCCACCCCCTTGTCTTATATCAAGGAGAAGAGGAGTGGGAGAGGTGTTCTGTAGACCCAAAACACAGTCTTAGCCAGGGGCGGACTGACCATTTGGAAACTCGGGCACTGCCCGAGGGCCCGGGGTCAGTAGGGGGCCCCATGAGATGATTTTTTGAGTTTGGGCAAGGACACAGGGGCCCCATGATCCCCTATTGCCCAGGGGCCCCATGAGTTGTCAGTCCGCCCCTGGTCCTAGCGTGACAACGTTGTTCTTCCATAGATAAGATAAGCTGAGTGTGTGTTGTCACCCTAGGACAGTGGTCTCCAAACTGTGGCCAGGGCCCTTTGCTTGCTTTTATCCGGCCCTTGGGCCTCCATTTCATTCACTAATACAAGCAATGAGGCATAATTCCCTCCACTGACACCAATTATGGGGAACAATTCCTCCCAATGATACCAAAAATGGTGCACAATTCTTACCAATGACAACAGCAATGGGGCATCATTCCTCTCACTGACACCAAAGAAGGGTCCCCATGACATCAATGATGGGGCACAATTGTTCCTAAGGACTCCAACGATGGGGGCGCCATTCCTCCCACTGACACCAAAGAAGGGGGATGGTTTATTCCCACTGACATTGGGACCTTTTCTATTTCCAATGGCCACAAGCCCCCCCTGAAGTCTGAAGGACAGTAGCTTTGCCCTTTGTTTAGAAAGTTTGGAGACCCCTGCCCTAGGACAAGTGTGTTGCTGGCAGGATCACCAGGTGAAAATAAAGAAAATAAATCCTGAGAAAAGAAAACTAATGCAGTCACCATATCTAATGATTGATAAGCTGCAATATATTACATTTTTGTTCTTGGGTTTGGATACAATTTACCAAAGTTACAATGGATCACTTATTGTGTGTTTGGCTATGCTCAACTCTGTACACTTCAGCTGCAAACTGTCCCAATAAAATATTAGAAAATGCCAACAACTACGCTGTAAATAAACATACTCGGCTTTTAGGATGGTATCGTCTCGTAACCCTTTGTATGTATGGAGCTTCACGTATCAGACACATTGAAGAGGAGATTCCACCTGCATGAAAATGAAATCTTTGCTGACTTTCAAGGGCATTTGGCCATTTTCCCAGACAGTGAGTAAAGGTTACAGCAAATGTACCTGTCAATGGTGGAGAATGAAGTCTTGAGCTGCGAACACTAATCATCGGCTCTTGCACTTGATTTATGTGTTTTCCTGTTCAGAAACTCGTGTTGGGGAATTTAGGGAGTTTAAGGTTATCAAGTTTTATTTGATACCAATAAAAGGAATCTGAACAAGATGTACAGTACAAGTGACTGCATCCTATCGTTCTCTGTATACCCCTGAAGTTTAGGCATCTTAAAACTCTATTGCTTAATCAGCAATCCTTAGCCATTCAGCATTAAAGGGAAGCTACACTGATTTTTCTGTTAGTAAATATTAAGTATGATTGCAACATTTGTCTGAAAGAAATTTTGTTGCAACATTTTTAATTGCTTCTTCCATATTTTAATAATGGTATTTCAAATATTTGTATTTGTAAAAGCTCCCTCTATGGTTACCTGTATACCCTGCAATGTCATCCCTGTTAAGGGCTCATGTACAAGGGGCGTTTGGAAAGCCCTTCTGAACGATGGAAACTGACTGCTGGAAAACGTAGGTAAAAAAACATCAGTTTAGCCGGGTTTGCATAGCACGTTTATCAGCGTTTGCATTTAGAAGAGTTTTTTAAATGATAACCTCAGGAGACCCTCCCAAATGCCCAGAATACACTGAAATAGTTAATTTTTTACTATTTTTCAGACATTTTGAGAGGAATAGAGAGAGCAGAAGCAGAGAGAGCAGTATGTGTTGAGATGACCTGTCTTTTCTGGTTGTATTCACTATGGATCCCATCATGAGCATAATGCGGCACGTTCTACTATTTTTTCCTTCACACACAACCTGGAACTGACTGCGCTGGTGTACTGGGTCCATTTGAATACATGGAAAATGCTTTACATGCATTTCTGATGATGAAAAAAGGCTCTGGACAGCATCTGGACATGGAACAGTTAAAAAACACTTCTAAACGCAAATGCTTATAAATGCGGTTAACTGCGTTTAAAAGCATTTGACATTTGAAACGCTGGTAAAATCTACTCCCGAACGCAAGTTTGGTGCGTTCAAAAAAACAACTGTAAACTGTACATGGACACATAGGAAAACATTAGGGAGAGTTCAGGGGCTGCTGAAAAAAAACGCTCAACAGCTCCTGAACGTCAGTTTCAGAGCTGCAGTGTACATGAGCCCTTAAAGTAGAACTCTAAGTTTTGACATACCCACCTAGTTATTTATATTGGGGTACTTTATACATTTGTCTGTTTTCCAGCAGTAGTAAAACACATGAATTTTTTACTGCATGATGAAAAAACTTTTCACATGAAAATCTAATTCTTTAGTATGTGGGTGGTTCACATCTATGTGCTGCAATTTAATGTGTTTGGTATGAGGATGCATTTGTTACTATGTGCACTAAAGTGTGCATGCATAGGTGTAAATGGCCCCTATTATTATTATTATTATTTTTATACAGGATTTATATAGCGCCAACAGTTTGCTCAGCGCTGTACAATATAATGGGAGACAGTACAGTAACAATACAATTCAATACACGAGGGGTTTAAGGGCCCTGCTCCTTGGAGCTTACAATCTAGGAGGGAGGAGTTAGTGGTACAGCAGGAAATAGCTGTGGGGGATGGAATGGTAGGAAGAGTGGAGGAGATTGGCAGTTAGCTGAGGGCAGGGTAGGCTTCCCTGAAGAGATGGGTTTTCAGAGTGCGCCTAAAGGTGAGGAGAGTAGGTGATAGTCTGATGGATTGGGGTAGGGAGTTCCAGAGGATGGGGGAAGCCCTGGAGAAGTCCTGGAGACAGGCATGGGAGGAGGAGACCAGGGAACTAGAGAGTAGGAGGTCTTGTGAGGAGCGAAGAGTACGTGTTGAGTGGTATTTGGCTACCAGATCGGTGATGTAGTTTGGGGCAGTATTATGAACAGGTTTGTACGTCAATGTTAGCATTTTGAATTTTATCCGTTGGGCAATCGGAAGCCAGTGGAGGGATTGGCAGTGGGGGGTGGCGGATACGGAGCAGTTAGTAAGGTCAATGAGTCTGGCCGCAGTATTCAGGATAGA